TTTACTTTCTTTTTAGTGATATGTTGCCTTGTTTCTATCTTGTACGTGAGCTCTGTGATACCGTAACCATAACCCCGTGATATATCATCACTCACCTGTTCCGTGCTATGTTATCACTTGCCTGTTACCGTTTGGTTCGGTTCACCTTTCCTCGTTCCTGATTTGTCGCCACATGTTCTGCCAAGTGCGACGATTGGTGGGTTTTTCGCTCGATGTGATCCGGATGATTTTCTTTTTTACTGTTTTTTTTTTCTGTGAATCACACGGCCAGGAGTGTAGTTCAGATTGCGCCAGTATATTCTCCGAACTTCTGAACTTGGAGACACAAAGTAAAAAGTTATTGTACTTGTTGGGTAGTGATATTTAAAGTAAGGCTAACGTTTTCACCATTGATTGCTACTGTTACTTACCACAAGGCAACTTCTTCCCTACAGAATCTCACACAAAACACGAAAACTCTGCTGCCAAAGTTCTTCGGTCTCTTCTGCTATAAGACCGCGTTGGGTAAAAACATTCGATTTGTAATCATGAATAACATCCTGCCGACTAATCTCAGCATGGACGAGAAGTTCGATCTGAAGGGATCAACGTATAAACGACAGGTAGGTAGTGTCGTACAAAACATTACTGGTGAGTGTCGCACAAACGACAGGTAGGTAGTGTCGTACCAAACATTGGTGGTTAGTGTCGTACAAACGACAGGTAAGTAGTGTCGTACAAAACATTGGTGGTTAGAGTCGTACAAACGACAGGTAAGTAGTGTCGTACAAAGCATTGGTGCTTAGTGTCGTACAAACGACAGGTAGGTAGTGTCGTACATAACATTGGTGGTTAGTGTCGTACAAACGACAGGTAAGTAGCATCGTACAAAACATTGGTGGTTAGTGTCGTACAAACGACAGGTAGGTAGTGTCGTACAAAACATTGGTGGTTAGTGTCGTACACAACATTGGTGAGTGTCGTACAAACGACAGGTAATCAATGTCTTGGTGCATCAACTCATAAACATCCTGCGGCAAAGCACGTTAACACACGACAGGTATAGTTCCGCCCCAGATCGCTCACGTGGTTATCTCACCTAGCAATACGTTTGATACGTCAACTGAAATGCAATGCCTTCGAACGAGACTGTGGTGGTGAACGGTACACGGTAGTTCGCTTACGCACATCTCGCGACGCTTAATACGTTAGCCTCACTACATACACACCCCACGTTAGTGCCCGTTCTGACCACCTATAATTTGCGCATACTACACCGCAGGCATCACAAAAGGAAGAGCAGAAGAAGTCTCCCACACTCAAGGACTTGAACATCAGGAAAACGTACAACGGAGGGATATACGTTGAACAGCGCGCGTACGATGCCATCCTGCGCACACTGAGAAGGGACTGCCGAGTCATGCAGAGCTTTGGCATTATGGACTATAGTTTATTATTAGGTGTGGATCATTGACTATAGTTTATTCTTAGGTGTGGATCATGGACTATAGTTTATTATTAAGTGTGGATCATGGACTATAGTTTATTGTTAGGTGTGGATCATGGACTATAGTTTATTATTAGGTGTGGATCATGGGCTATAGTTTATTGTTAGGTGTGGATCATGGACTGTAGTTTATTATTAGGTGTGGATCATGGGCTATAGTTTATTGTTAGGTGTGGATCATGGACTGTAGTTTATTATAAGGTGTGGATCATGGACTATAGTTTATTGTTAGGTGTGGATCATGGACTGTAGTTTATTGTTTCATGGACAATAGTTTATTGTTAAGTGTGGACCATGGACTGTAGTTTTTTGTTAGGTTTGGATCTTATACTATAGTTTATTGTAAGTTGTAGATCACGGACTATAGTTTATTGTTAGGTGTGGATCATGGACTGTAGTTTATTAAAAAGTGTGGGTCATGGACTATAGTTTATTATCAGGTGTGGATCATGGACTGTAGTTTATTATTAGGTGTAGATCATGGACTGTAGTTTATTATTAGGTGTGGATCATGGACTATAGTTTATTATTATGTGTGGACGATGGACTATAGTTTATTTTTAGGTTTGGATCTTGGACTATAGTTTATTATTAAGTGTGGATCATGGACTGTAGTTTATTTTTAGGTGTGGATACTGTACCACAGTTTATTGTTAGGTGTAGATAGTGTATCTGTCGACCTATCTGGCTATCGTAGTATAATTCTGGGTGTATGTATCGCCACTGTCGCTGAGTGTGTAGGCTACCAGTTCCTTCTAGGTGCGTGTACTTACATTTGTTTGGGAATACTGCACCAGGCACGGAGGGAAAGAACCCGACCATGTATGTATTTAATACTTCTGTGCGTAGAGAAGCTTATGACAGTTCAAATATAGGAACTAGTTATTATACATCCAGGGGTAGGGTGTAACTTGTACTACTATTTTCAGCAGTAGCCCTGATATGGCCATAGAGATGTACTTAGATTCACTCCCAGTCAAGTATGCCTAAAACACAGCACCTGCCTGACCATAGTATAGTCTTGGGTTATTGGTTTACATCGCAAGTACAGAGGTCATTTATTACCCATCGGGCAATTATCTCAGCAGGGTACTTTGAGTTGTGTAGGGAATGTTGTACATCTGCACTGTGTATATCCCATAGGTGTTCATTGGCTGTGCATGTGTAGGGGACAAGTGCAAGTGCGTTGTTGTGGGTAATGTTCGGTACTTAGTGCACTCTCTGCGGTGTAGCTGCTTACGCCAGTTACGCCCAGTCAGTCGTACAGACTGGTGAGGCTATGCTTAGAAGACTGTTTTACCCGAAACACCAGTGGAGCTTCTATCACTCGCAACAGAGACTCTGGCACTCATGGTAGTGATTCCTACATACACACCTACACATACTATCAACACACGCCTACACACTACCCGCACACCCACAAACGCACGCACACGTAGACTCTTACACTCATGGTTGTGATTACTACATACACGCCTACACATACTACCAACACACGCCTACATATACTACCAACACACGCCTACACATGCTACCAACACACGCCTACACATACTATCAACACTCGCCTACACATACTACCAACACACGCCTACAAATACTACCAACACACGCCTACACATACTACCAACACACGCCTACACACTACCCGCACACCCGCAAACGCACGCACACGTAGACTCTTACACTCATGGTAGTGATTCCCACCCCTCCCACACACACCTACTACCAAGCCACCCACAATATCACACACACACCCAACAACAGGCGTGCATCGCTTGACAGAGAAGTCGTTTCGAGAGCTGGGCGGCAATAAGAAGGACAGCACCAAAGCCGGAACCGTGTACTCGTTTGCGTCGGTGATGAGTGTGCTGTGTCTGACCGAAGACGACTATCTGGCCAAGGACTCTGATATGTCGGATTCATTCAAGTATGTCATATTCTGGTGTCGTATTTATCGGACTCAAAGTAAGTCGTATTGCGGTGTCGTATTTGTCGGACTAATCCAACGGTACGCTTACTGGTGCTGGTATCGACTGCGGGTACGGTGCAGTGCTAGGTATGTGTAGGGACGTGAACGAAAAGCCAGGTGATGCCCGATTAAGTCATTGGGTGTACAAGTTCGGTACCTAAATCGTATCCTCGAACCATGAGCGTAGTTACTTTGAGCGTGGGTGGTTGATGTTGGCGTTTACGTATACGTATATCTATTGTCAGATAGTGGCCATGGGGTGATGAGACGGGGGCACCCGTAGCGTACATGTACATCCCTGAGTCACCCCACTCCCTCTAACGAGGAGACCTGAGTGAGACCCACTATGCACTCTCAGCAGACCTTGCGCCACAGCTACCTGCTATGCTATGGCCATGATATGCTATGCTTGGTGTTTTTTTCAGCACCATCTCTTAGGTAAAGGAGTATAAGCTATGTTCCTTTTATCTCAGAGTGTTATAGAGGGGTGTTGTCCGTCTCTTGAGCTCTAGTGCGTTTCATTCTCCATTATTAGGTTAGTGCCATGCAGGCCTACGTCTTACGTTGTAGCGCACACATTCATTGACCTACCTTAGCTGCATCCATCTATGACTCTCACTGATTCGGCATGGACGGTTTGGTTTGATACGACCACTACTCGTCCCGTGCCCCATACCTACCTTTTGTTATACCCTGCTTATAGTGTCTATCCTTGCCAGTCATACGTAACTACGCATACATATATATATATATATATGTAACCTACCTTTTGTTATACCCTGCTTATAGTGTCTATCCTAGCCAGTCATATGTAACTACGGATATATATATATATATATAACCTACCTTTTGTTATACCTTGCTTATAGTGTCTATCCTTGCCAGTCATATGTAACTACGGATATATATATATATAAATAACCTACCTTTTGTTATACCTTGCTTATAGCGTCTATCCTTGCCAGTCATATGTAACTACGGATATATATATATACATATAACCTACCTTTTGTTATACCCTGCTTATAGTGTCTAACTACGCACACCCATACCGTACCAATGAAGTTGTACGGGTCCATCTCAATCAGTTCGGTCGTTTGGGCTGCGCTGTATCCTTGCCAGTCATATGTAACTACGGATATATATATATATATATATATAAGCTACCTTTTGTTATACCTTTTTTATAGTGTATATCCTTGCCAGTCATGTGTAACTACGCATATACATATATATACATATATAACCTACCTTTTGTTATTCCTTTTTTTATGGTGTCTATCCTTGCCAGTCATGTGTAACTACGCATATATATATATATATATATAAACTCCTCACCTGTGTCCTAAATCCCCGGTGTCTTAAGACCTCCTGTCCTTTCTCAGTTCACTTTGGGCCACTGGTCTTCTCACGTGTTCGTTTGCCCTACACCCCATGGCGCAGTGGCGGAGTGCTTGGGTTCATAAACAATGACCAGCCGGTGCTGCTGTTTCTGGGAGTGATTGATATCCTGCAGACGTACAGGATACGAAAGAAACTGGAACACATTGTCAAGGCCAGCTACGCCGATGGGGTATGTATGTGTAGTGCCCACAACACAGCAGAGCATGTCAGTGCAGCATCTCTCTCTCTCTCTCTCCTCCACTAAGGCCAACTATTGTTATGGACAAGTGAGTCCTATTGTTATGCACAAGTGAGTCCTATTGTTAAGCACAAGTGAGTCCTATTGTTAAGCACAAGTGAGTCCTATTATTAAGCACAAGTGAGTCCTATTGTTATGCACAAGTGAGTTTTATTGTTATGTACAAGTGAGTCCTATTGCT